GGGGGTTAGTAGAGGCTCTCTATGATTGCCGGGGACACCGACTTTATGGTCACCCACCGGCAACTACGCCCTCCTTGTACTGTTAACGGCGGTCCTCTTCCCAGAAAACTAAGGTAATCGGCCAAGCTTAGCAAAAAGGGCCCCTAGGTGAAAAACAAATGTACAAAGAACTGAGACAGTTTCTGGTCGCACAAAAATTGGACGGGGGAAAAACAAGGTTTTCAACAATAAGGACCTAATTGCAGGGTTTTGCTGCATTGGCCATAGCTCTGGAACTACACGGCCGGGGTGAGTGTCGAAAAGCTGGGCAGTAGCTAGCCATCAAAGAGCCGGTACGCCCGCCGTGCCACCGCCGGCGCCGTCCACGCGGGGTCCAGGCGAGCAAGGGGGGAGCAGGCAGATGTATAGCATTCCCTTGGCAGTGTCCTCTCCGCCCTCTGCCCAGTACTGACTGCTTAGCTCGAGCGCAGCCCTCTCCGCCCTGCCCTTCGCGTGCCCTTTGCAGAGCCCTTGGTAAACAAACTGCCCTCCTCATCCTCCCTCCACTTTTCCATTCAACGTGTCACGTGACCCGAGTGCAAAGAATTGGCAGCGCAGCGTGTTCCCGGACCTGCTTGTCCCCGCTGCGCTGCGGACGACCGGAAGAGGTCCTCGAAGCAGGACCGCGAGGCTGTTGTGTCCTGGTCCCCGCCTGGTCCCCGCGCGGTCCGTGCTCTCTGCGCGCGCATTCCAGCCGGGGTACTGACCCCCGCCACGCCCCGCCACGCCGCACAATGAGCGATAGCATTGTGCCCAAATGAAGCCGTTCCGTGCCAATTAGGCGTAGCGGGGAGGCACGTGTGTGTGCGTGTGCGTGTGTGTGTGTGTGTGTGTGTGTGCGCGCGCGCGCGCGCGCGTACGCCGTACAAAGACCTGTGCCATACCGCAGCACGGGCGAGTACCCCTAACACCGAGGGCCTTCCTCAGGGGCTCCAATATTGCCGTCTTCCTGTTGGTCCGGGGGGGCTCAAGCCGGTGTGGCTGCCGCAGCCGGTAGGCGCGGTTGTCCGGGGTGGGTTGGTGGGACGCTAATGGCCAGCTCCGCGGTGGTGGTCCGTTCACACGTACATGCGGATGAATAACGATCATTTTCCACGCCGTTTCACACCGTGCTCCGAAAAATAAGGGTGGTAGCGCAGGGGCAGAGATGAGCGCCTCGCTGCGGAACCACGATTTGAGCCCCAACCCCCAACATCGTAATCCCCTACGCAGCTTTATATTTTCACCCCAGCACGTGGACAGCGTGGTAAATGCCCCCCCCCCCCCACTTCTAGGACAGGTGGTGCAGGAAGACTATCTTTGTTTTTGCCTTGACTGTTCCACAGCATGCATGGTTTTGACTATAGACATTCTCAGGCTGGGGCCGTATTGACTCCTGCGGGAAACGTCAAAAACGGGGTTCTGAAAGAAACGACCAAATCCCATCATCCCTCAAAACGACTCTGTGGGTCCTGGCGTTTCAAGCACCCCACCCTAGTCGTACCCAACGCCCACCTAACTCGCGCTGCACCATGTGACGTGGATGAATATGAAGTATCAAATCAACGCCCCAGCCCCCACGCCCGTCCCCGCCGCTGGCAGCTCCTCGTGCACCTGCCGTGGGGGCGTGCCCTGGCTTCCCTGGTGCCGTGCCTCCAGGTGAACAGGTGGCTCGGGGCACGCGCTGCACCGCTCCGCTCGCCTCTCTCTGTCCGGGCGCCGCGCACCCGGCCGGAGAGCGGAGTACGCTTTATCAGCCGGAGCAAGCGTGATCGTAAAACTGTAAGGCTCGAAGGCGGCCATCTTCTTGGATCTCGTATACAGGCCTGTTCACCAATGACTTGGGTTACGCAGCCAAGGTGCACATCGGCCCACCCCGTGCCCGACGCACCCTAATCACTCCACCTCCTAAAAGTCCCCGGCATGACCTAGGCCTGGTCGCACCCCTGTGCTCAGGCTGTCTTCCTCCTGCGGGCTCGTGGTTCGTAGGGTCTGGCCGGTTGGCCGGGTGCTTATATTTGCGCTAGGTTAGCTCCGACACGTCGCTGATAAGTAAAGGAGTAAACACCTCCTCATTAGAGCCGACACAGCACCACACGGTGGCCCCCTCATGTACCCCCCCCCC